TATATATATATATATATATATATATAAGTTATAATTTTTTAATTATTTTACAAGCAGATGATGCTGGTATCCATTAACCTGCAAAAATTTTATAATAAAATTATTAGTATCAAGAGAAGCTGTAGTTCTTGATGTTTTAAAATAATTTATATTTGTCCATTTCAATGGAAGTTATGCATACAAGAAAAAGACTATGATTTCTACTTTGTAGAATGTTTTACGGCTTGAAAAAGAAAAACGATAATGTACAAACTTTAACTGAAATTAACGTATGTGAAGACAAACTTGACTTGAAATCTTCTGATGACAATAAACTTGATATTGAAATCAAAACTAGTGTGGAGGAAGATGAGAATGAGGAAGATGAAATGAGGAAAATGAGAATGAGGAAGATGAGAATGAAAAAGTTGTTTTACAATTTTCAAAAAAGCAAATGACTCACTGTGCAGTAAAATGGTCAAAACAGACCAAGGAATGGACTTTGCCTTCTAATTTTCAAGAATTAAGCTAAAAGGTATCACTAAATACTGTTACTTTTAGAGAACATTTGGGCCTCTTACACTTTTCTAATCCAATTGAATTTTACCGCCTATATCTCACCACAGAACTTATATTTATATTGGAGCAAACGCATTTGTACAATGAATGGAGAAAGCTACAATATGGAGCGCACAGAGTAAAAGAAAAAAGCCGCCAAGAAATAAGTGTTGTCATTGGCATTGTGTTATACATGGGAATTGTAAAATTACCCAACCAAAGAATGTATTGGAAATCAAAAACCGTAATGAACTTATTGTGTTATCAATGTCAATCAACCGATTTGATGAGATTTTATCCGTCATACATTTTAATGATAACAACAACATCCCCGACGAGGGTAGTGATAATTATAATAAATACTTCACGGTGTAACCGTTAATCAATCATTTACAACTACAGTTTCTTCAAATCGTAAAACCAGAATTTCATTTGTCAATAGATGAGCAAATCATTCCTTTCAAAAGAGCTCATTCTTTGAAACGCTATCTTCCTAAGAAACCAAATAAGTGAGGTTACAAATTGTGGGCAAGAGCAGGAATTTCTGTGTATATTATTATTTTGAAGTTAAAGGTGGTCTTGATGCAAAAGATCCTCCTCAAGGATTTAATTCTCCAAATGGCTGCGGCAAGAGTGCGTTTGTTATAATGCGTCTTTCAAATGACCTTTTACCAAATGCACACCAACTTTTCTTTGACAACTCTTTTGCATCACCAGAGCTAGCGGTGTACCTAAGAGGTACTAAGAAAATTTGGGCTTTGTCTACAATGAATGCAAGTTGTTCTCGAACATGCCCGATTCTAAATGAATCTAAAATGAAAAAATCTGGTCGTGGTTATATTGAACAATTTTTCTATTCTTCATCAAAAATTGTAATAACAGCTTGGTATGACAACAAACGTGTGCTCACTTTATCAAACTATATCGGCAAAGATCCTATTGACACCTGCAAAAGGTAGAAAAAAAAAAGAAAAAATAAGTTGATGTTAGTTGACATGCCGCTGTCAAAGTTTACAACACCTTTATGGGGGTGTTGACAAAGCAGATATGCTTTTGTCACTCTATTGTACATAATACAGATCGAGAAAATGGTATCACCGAGTTGCATTTCATCTATTCAGTTTGGTAGCAAACAATGCTTGGGTGATTTTTCAGCAGATTGGTGGGAACAAACCACTTGTTGATTTTTTAGCTGATGTGTGTACGTCTCTGATAAATGGAGTTGACCAATTATCAGACGAGGATCCTAATGAATTGCCAGAACCACGCTCTATAAGAGCAAATAGTATTCCAATTGACATCCGTCTTGATAAATTTGAACATTAACTAACTCTAATGGAGGATCCAAATTCACAACGTTGCAAATACGAACTGTGCAAAAAGAAAACTAAATATCAATGTACCAAATGCAAAGTATATTTATGCATAGCTAATGATGTATGATTTCAAGCATTTCATGGAGCAAAATAAATGTAAACAATCAACAAATTGCCTTGTCAAATTTTTGAATATTCTTTTTCCCAAATCCATAATGTTCATCTCAATGGACGATAATTTTCTCCAGGAAAGCAATATCAAAATTTAAAAACAACAATAGATTCTGATTATAACAAGCAGTTTGGGTATTATGCCAAAAAATTTCGAAATTTTATCATGTTTAAGGTCCCCATGCATTAAAGGGTTAATCAAATAAAAACAAATTTATTTATATCAATCAAATTTAAGTAATGATGTTAAAAATTCATCTTGTGATAATGTTAATTATGAAATTTTATTCTTATTTAAAGCTTTTTGTTTAAATGATTTTAAAACATTTTAGCGGTTGCTAGCATTTCGACAATTCTTAGGTATTTGCTATTTTGAATTTCTTAATTTTCTCAGTTATTTTCTGTTTTAATTCTGACCTATATTTTATATATTTATATTATATACATTTGCATGTTACGGTTATGTAGAGTTTTTTTTTTTTATGTAGAGTTTTTTTTTTTTTTTTTTTTTTATGTGGGGCTCGGCGATAAGGCAAAATGTGCCTTCTTCTTGCTCCTGCCATTAATTTTGATATATGTATATGCAATGTAAACATTCTTTAACGGCGAAATAAATTACACTTAAAAAAAAAAAAAAAAAAAAAGGGTTAAAAATAATTTTTTCAAATCTCAAGTCTTTTTATTGGAATTAAATGAATTACTATTATGGATTTGTGTATTATATTATATGCATTTTTATTTATATAAAAATGCATATAATATAATACACATAATCAGATACATGTTTGGTGGGTCCGGAACCACCCACCAAACATGTATCTGATACCACCAAATCATACCTTATTCACAAATACAAGTTTCAAAACCAGTGAATTAAAGTATTAAACGAATTTTTTTATTGATCTTTAATGAATAAAAATTTATTAGTTTTCATAAAAATTAGGCATATTAATAAGTGAATCAAATATGATGTTACATCTCCCATCTGGTGTTGGGAAACAATATCATACATTCCAGATGGTAGATGTTTTGCATATGACATATTTTCACTCAAATAATGTATTATAGTATTTAAAATCACATAGCTTCTTTAGTTTAAGCTGTATATCAAGTGTCCGGAGTTACCTTCCGCTTGGAGCTACCTGACTTTTACCTAAAATAGTATACATTTTAGAAAATTATTTGAGTTATAGCAAGCATTTTGGCTTGAACCATCCTTAACATTTTACATAGTTACTTCATTGATATTGGCAATGAGAAGATTTAGTGAGAAACTTGTATGATTTCAAATGTTTTTTAATGTATTTGAAAATGCTTTATTGTTTGCATTTTTTTTCTTCCTAAAACGAATAAGTGGCCCAGTATTAGAACAATAATTAGACTTTGTGAAAATACTTTGACAAACATTAAGCTTTGTTAAACTGTGAGTTAGTTACTTTTAATCATTACCCAATTGATTTGTCACACATTTATTTATCTTAATGTGCGATCAATACGCTACCCAGCTAATACAAAACGTTCAAGTAGGTTCGAAGAACGTTGCGAACGTTTGAGTACATTCTATTAACGTTCATAGAACGTACGTTGAACGTTTTGTGTTAGCTGGGTAGTTCAATTAGGAAAGTGAAAAAAAACAAATATTAAATATACAAAAACATAATGAACATGTTATAATAATTTTAAATAATAATATAATTAATACTTTATAATAATAATAACAAATTCTAGTAACGTATTTAAACAAATAATTTTTGAAACACACTCGTTAAATTAAATAAGCAAACTTTATATAGAAAACATAGTTAAAAAACTTTATATAGAAAACTTATTTAAAAAACTTTATACAGAAAGCTTATATAAAAAGTTTATTAATATATCTTAGAGTTAAAGTTTATACATATGATTTTAAGACTTTACAATTTCATTTTCAAAAACAAGGAAATGTGATATACATTTATTATGGTTAACTTATTTACTTTCAATTTTATAAATGCATATTGATAGATGCAACAGCATGCAATAAATCAAGGTTGCTAATGTTTGATCTGATTTTAATACAGCATTATCATAGCAGCTGATTTCGCTTGTAGATTTTAAAATAATTATTTTTTTTCTTTGGAGCGAAAAATTTTATTTCTTTTATTTTGTGTCTTTTATTCTTAGTTTTTTGGCATCAAAATAAATCCGTATCAAACTGTTTTTGGCCATTAAGTTAAATCCTTATCAAACTGTGTCCTAATTTTATAACTAATCTGTATCAAACCGTTTATGGTTATTAAAACAAATTTATAAATGTTTGTAGATTATAAAGGAAAAACAGCAACAACTAATAAATAATTTATTACTAATGAAATTTAAAAATCTTTTTGTACTGAAAACGTCACACAATTAAAGTAAGCTTGCTCTTGTTTTTAATTATTTTATAATTCCTGTATTTCAAAATTTTTTATTGCAAAAAGTTTCGCTTATTGCAAAATGTTGTGTTTATTGCATCAAGTTGTATTTATTTCAAAAAGTTGTGTTTATTGCAAAAAGTTGTGTTTATTGCAAAATGTTGTGTTTATTGCATCAAGTTGTGTTTATTGCAAAATGTTGTGTTTATTGCATCAAGTTGTGTTTATTGCAAAATGTTGTGTTTACTGCAAAATGTTGTGTTTATTGCAAAAAGTTGTGTTTATTGCATCAAGTTGTGTTTATTTCAAAATGTTGTGTTTATTGCAAAATGTTGTGTTTATTGCAAAAAGTTGTGTTTATTGCATCAAGTTGTGTTTATTTCAAAATGTTGTGTTTATTGCAAAATGTTGTGTTTATTGCATCAAGTTGTGTTTATTTCAAAATGTTGTGTTTATTGCAAAATATTGTGTTTATTGCAAAATATTGTGTTTATTGCAAAAAGTTGTGTTTATTGCATCAAGTTCTGTTTATTGCAAAAAGTTATGTTTATTGCAAAATGTTGTGTTTATTGCAAAATGTTGTGTTTATTGCAAAAAGTTATGTTTATTGCAAAATGTTGTGTTTATTGCAAAATGTTGTGTTTATTGCAAAATGTTGTGTTTATTGCAAAATGTTGTGTTTATTGCAAAATGTTGTGTTTATTGCAAAATGTTGTGTTTATTGCAAAAAGTTTTATTTTACTAAAAAAATCACAATCAAGTTGATTATCATATTAGAATTTTTTTAGAGAGATTTTTTGTATTTTTTTAAAAATCTTTTTGTCAACTTTTTATTGCTTTTTTCTTTTTAAACTATTCAGAAAGAAGCACATACATTTTTTTTTGTTTGGAATTTTTTGTTACTCCACTTTTTCCATACATATTATTTTGCTTACTATCGAACTTGTTTTTGATTTGATCTTTTATATTGCAACTTTCTTTTCATAAAAGCTTTATTGATGTATAAAACTATGTTCATGAAAGCCTTTTTTTATATATCATTAAAATATTAGGTTTAAGGCTACTAAAAAGAATTTGTCACCAAAAATCTTGTTATAATGCATACAACAGCGTTTAGATTAATTAGTTTTCATGTATTTCTTGAAAATTTTCTTTCTTTTTTATAAAAAATAGAGTTTTTTTAAGTTAAGCGAATCATTAAGAGGTAAATATTTCTTTATAATGTGTGTTTTTGGTTTTTTGTAGTATTTAAACTGTACTTTCTTATAAGTTGTTTCTTATATCATGAATACACTATAGCGTATTTAAAAAATAGATATTTTGTTTTTATTAGTAGAATAAGATGAAAAAGTTATAAAACATCCTACATAAAAAATTTTAAAGACCTGTTGCACAAATCTTACATACAGTGAACATCTTACATACAGTGAACTCTTTAAATATTGTTTGCTAAAGTAAACTATGCGGTCGACTAAAAGTTAAAACTATAGCTGCTGAAAGTCTGCAAAACTTTTAAAATCTATCGGATTATCAATTTATAAAAGTATGGCTACTTTTAGCTAGAAACAAGATAGTATTCAATTAAGGTTTGCTGCAAATAAAATACTTGAAAAAACTAGAAATATGCATCGTAAGCTAAAAGCTCAATAAAATAATTTTTTGGTAAATTTTCTATGGAACTAGAAGATTCATTAGTATCAATTAGTAAGACAGTCCAAAGGTTTCTGCTACTTAAATTTCTTCGTTTTTTATTTAGTTTTTATCATGGTAAAGATTTTATATGGTGTTTATATAGTTTAAATTTCTTGATATTGATTATATTTGCCTCTATAATTATTATGGATTATTATCCATAAGATTTCGTTTTATTTTTAGAAACTAGCAAAAACATGTTTTTCGTAGTTTCTAAAAATAACTTTTCTTTTTTGTTTAAAGTTTTTAAGTTGCAACACTATGCATAAAATGGCTAAAGTATTTGTCCTTTTTGATTGAAGTTTTGAACATACGTTCACATAGATATCTAACGTGGGATGTAGGAAGCAGATTTGTTAATTTTTTTTTTTTTAATATATTTTTTAAAACCTGTTTTTAAGTTTTTAGTCCTTGGAACATGAATGTTTCATAACAAAAACCTACATATATTAGGAAATAAAATTATTAAGAAATAGTTTTATTTCCTAAAATATGTAGTCCAATATTCTGGATCATACTTTCAGTCTTTACTTTGTAAAGCTGATTCGAATAAGGAAACTTTTTGATTTTTTATTTTAAATATTTTTAGTTCAAATATTTTTCAATCATCTCTGAAAATTCATTATCTAAAATGTATTGTAGAACATATGGTAGACAATAAAGAAAAATGTTGTTGTTTTCTATATAAAAGTGTATGGCCACCTTAAGGTTAATTAAATTATTGCTAGTTGACTGAAATAAACAATATTTGAAAGATCATAAATAACTTGTGTGAAACTATATATTTAAAAAATTATTTGTGTGAAATTATATATTAAACTAGATTAATTAGTAATCAAGTAAATATTACATTCTAATAAGGAGAACTCTTATTATCTCCTTCATCCGTGTAAAATGTAGATATGATACTTCAATACTAAGAATTTTCTGTGTAAAAGGACGAAATACAATTTAAAATAAATTTTAGTTAAAATTAGCTTTAGTATTATTAGAAATTATAATTACTCAAACTATCATTCAAAATATTTATATCTCTATATAGAAATATAGAAAATATAATTCAAAGAAACAAACATTTGTATGTGTATAAATAAGTTATTAAATTTTTACACGTAAAGTATTTCCTGACAATGTTTTTCATACAAACAGTAATTTTTTTACAAATTTTTTTTTTACAATTTTTTTTTTTTAAATAAAATTTACTAAAATCTCGAAAATCAAAAGTAGATAAGTTTAAAAATAGATTTTTTTTTTTCACGATAATATTTTTAGGATTTTAAATCTTCAAATCAGATTACAAGAATCTTTACAAAAACTTGAATTAGGTTTCAACTTAAAAAAATGCCCACAATTTTAAACTACAATTTACAAAAACAAAGACGGCTCTTCTAATATAATCTTCTTTAATAATCTATCGTTTTACTGAAGAGTTTTAATCTTATTAGAAGAAAATAAAAATAGAAAAATAATTTATCCACTTAATTAAACTTGATAAGTTTAAAAAGACAATCAAAAAATTAAAGTTTACAAAACAATTTTCAAAAAAATGGTTGTAAATATTTTTGATAGCATAAAAATTTAGTTTTATGCTGTAAAACTAAAGTAAATATAGTTCTTTTTTATTAAAATTACTTATTGTTAATTATTTATTAGACTTTTATTCAACCTTTATTAGATATATTTTTTTCTAGTAAATTGTTTTTTACGAAATATTTACTTATCTAGTTGCTCACTTCAACAGACATTAAATCAGCAAGTATTCACCTAACTTAAAAAGAAATTAAAAAAAAAAAAAAAAAATGACCAGTTAAAAATAGAGGTGAAAGAGTACGTTTTTGTTTTTATACATACATTAAAAAATAGTGGTTCAAATAAGTTACATAATAAAACTTTAATCCTTGGCTTCATTCTCATAAAAAATAACTTCTTTTTTTTAACAAATTTCAATTTAAAAAAAATTTAGTTCAAATATAATTAGTATTATTTTTAAATATTATTAAAACAGTAATAAGAGTTTGATATCTTGAATAGAAAATTTTGATTTTTTTTTAAACAACAATTATTAAAATTTTAGACTTTTAACACATTACTATCGTACAATACACAGGATATTAATAGAAATATTGAGCGTTAATGTCGTATAGTAGCAACAAGTAATTCGATTAAAAAATAGTGATAAAAAAAGCACTTTTCAGAGTACTAATTTTAAATTAATCCCAATGAATTGCTTAAATTTGTTAAGAACTAAATATTTGACTGGGAAAGCGAGTTTATCGCTTAATTGAAAAAAATTAAACTTGTAGCTTTGAACGAAAAACAAATTTAATGTTTATTGTGAGATAAAAGTATACGTATTTTATTTTGTTATTTAAGGCGTTTTTTAATGGTGGATTATATTATCTAAAGTGGATTGGAAAATTGAAGAGCATAAAGTATATTATACACATTGAAAATAGAGTTTTATGATGAACAATACTTGTGAAAAACTTATACAAGATTTAAAAGGTACGCCAAAAATTAGTCCTTCAATTATTAGCGTTATTCTACCAGAAATATGTAACTTTGTCAACACAAGTCCTAACGCAAGTCGAATTGCATCACAGTTTCAAAAATTATGCTGCAGCCCAATATCTTCTATAATATTAAATAAAACGCTCGACTCAAGTAATGGAATAAATCATAGTCGAATTGAACAAGTTTGTCGATTAATGTCTAAGAATAACAAACCAGACGAAGAAGAATTTTATAATGAGTTTTGTTTATCATGGATGAAAAGCGAGCCCGCTGAACATCAAATTTTAACTTACGTTTTAGCTTCAATATTATCGCCAATAGGATTGTTTGCCAACATTCTTATTTTAACTACTGTTTATAAAGTAAAAAAAATGCAAAATCCTACCGGATATTTTATATGCAATTTGGCTATAGCTGATTTATTTGTCATTTTAGAAACCCTTCTTTTTCATACATTTTACAAAAGCGGTACTATGAGTATAGCCTCCGAGCGGGTTCAAAAGTTTATGTTTCCTTCATTAGATATAATGTTAGGTTCTGCTTCATTGTTACACGTTACAGCTGTAAGCATTGAACGAGGCATTGCTGTTGCATTGCCAATGAAGTATCCATTTTACCTCAGTGAACTTCGAGCAAAAAGACTTATTCAAGGCATCTGGGTATACTGTACTTTGATATTTTTTCTCAGTATATCGAGAATATGGGTGGTACAAAAATTTTATGAGGAGACCATTTTTTTTGTTGCAGTTTCCTGCAGCTTTTTTATCCCTTTTGTTCTTGTGACAACATCTTATGGTATTATAATGTTTTCAGCATTAAAAAGTATTAAGATGGAGCATAGTATTAGAAAAGTTATTGCCGCTATCAGCAGATTGGATGATAATCTTTTGACAAAAGCAACCGTAAGACCTCCTAGGTTTCGAGAAATAAAAATTACTTTTAACGTAATGACAATGACTATACCGTTTGTCTGTGGTTGGGGATATTTTATGACGTGTAGTACGTATGAAATAGCCGCTAATTATAAGTTTAAAGGCTTTCAAAATTGGTTGATCATGTCTCTTCCATTTCTTGTTTCATGTATTAACCCTTTGACGTATATCGTTTTCACGCGCTCGTTAAGACAAAGTTCGTTTAGAGTCCTTTCAAACTTATGTTCAAATATTTTTCAAAGAGTTTCTTATAAACGCAAAAATAATCGTCGAAACTCTAACTTAAATTTGTAACTTTATAAAGGTTTTTCATAAATGATGGTATATTCACCAGAACCATGAGTATTGTCATCAAAACCATGGGTATGGTCAAAAGAACCATGGGCATGGTTACCAGATATAGTTTAACTTATTAATTATAAATGGTATATTTATATAGTTTTAATATTGTTATTTTAAAATAAACGATAAAATAAAATCAGGCTTGTTACTACCATGATTTTTGTGGTAAACTTTGTCGATATGACCGTTTTAGCTCATTAAACTAAGCGATACAAAAGTTCAAATTCCTTTATATCAATTAGCTGTTTAAAATATGTCGGACAAAATTAAAAAGAAACTTGTTTTTAAGTAGCAAAAAATTTGGGCAGCATGTGGCCAGGGTTAGTAAATTATTTAGAAGCTAAATACAAAAAAGTTAAAAGAAAAAATGATGAAAATGAAAATATCGATTTTTATTTTCTGCAAAGTGTTTTTAGATTTTTCAATTTATTAAATAGTTGTTAATTTAGATTAAAACATGTGACTAGAAGATTAATTGAGATAAACTTCTGTCTTTTTAAATGTTATTTGAAAACAATCGAGATAAAAACGTGTTTTCTATTCAAACAAATCAGAAAAAATTGGTTTAGAATTTATCCGAATAAAATAAGCTTATTGAAAACATACTACATCTCCCAGATATTTTTCTTAAAATCGTTAAAGATGTTTATCTACATATATGTATATATATATATATATATATATATATATATATATATATATATATATATATATATATATATATATATATATATATATATATATATATATATATATATATATATATATATATATAGTATATGTATACATATATGTATATATATATATATACATATATGTATACATATACTAGATATATATATATATATATATATATATATATATATATATATATATATATATATATATATATATATATATATATATATATATATACGTAATAGCAGATGTGGTTCCGAAAATCATAAACATTTTTTCAGGAAAATGAGTATCGGTTTGTAGTATTTAAAAAAATGTATTATATCTGAAGACAATATAAATTTAAAATTCCTGACAATGTAACTAAGTCTTGATTTTTAAAGTAAGAGTTTTAACGCAGATAAATATTATTAACCAAAATTTAATTATATTATATTTTAAATTGTACAAAGAAAAACAAACAAAAAAATGTTTCAAAACTTTAAAAAACACTAGAAAAAAAAGATTTAAAGCATGCACCTTAGTTACTTAAAATTTTCCATGTAAAAAATAAATTTTTTTTCCTTCAAACTTTAGTATCAATGTTAAAAAAACGTTAGTATTAGTATTAAAACGTTAGTAAGTTAATGCTGCATCTTCGAAAGATAATGATTGCTTGATGCATCCAAACTTTTTTTAAGCTTACAATGATAAACTAAAACATGTCAACAAGCAGCATACAACAAGTATTCTTAGCATATATCTATATATAATTCCTTCTTACGCAATTTTTTGCAAATATTCTTAGCATATATCTATATATAATTCCTTTTTACGCATTTTCACATTGCGCAGTATCTTTAAAGAGTGACAGTCTCCAATGTTTCAACGAATGATTTTTTAAATGCTATTAATATCATAACCAGAGCAAATCTATTTTCAACTGCATCTAAATTTATCACTGGTAACATTCACATTTATATAGAACATTTATTTATCACAGGTAACATCCACATTTATATAGAACATATATGCCCCTTATTTAACGTGGCTGTTTCAAACATCTTGATGATGTTGAATGACTGTTGTGCCGATAAAGCAAGAAATTAATGATAGATTAAGCAAGCTTGACCTTTGTTCTCTTTACTCATCTATTATAACCTTGTTTTAATTACCAACATCCATTAAAAGACCTCTGTCCAAATTGATGCTGAAGTTTATCAGTCATTGCATACAATGTAGAGACTTTTGAAACATTCCCCCCTTCCCTTCATTATCCTTAACCTGTAAAATTTTCTGTAAAATGCGTTTTATAATAGTTTTTTTAGTCTCATTGAAGTTTTTGTTGCTTTGTTGTTGTGAAGGACAAAAGCAGTAGTTTCAGTTTGATTGCGGTAACATTTTTAGTGGTAACATCGTAGAATGACAATTAAAGAAGCAAGCTTATAATTTCTTCAATTATTTCAGTTCATTCAGCAACTTTAATATTTTCTCTAATGCTCTATAGTTGTTTATTATAGAAATTCTTGCTGTGTTATAGAAACCTACAAGTTTTATAGATTCCGATCATTTAGAAACCTTGAGACTGACATCATTAAGTTGATGCATGATTCACAACTTTTTTGATTTTTTGATTTCGCTGTTTAATTAGTAAAAATAAAAGTTTTTTACAATCTTTATTAGATAAAGAATTAAACAGACACCAACAGGGCCAACGACACGGTATTCGAAATAGTGGAGGAGGGGAACATTTGTTTCATCAACACTAATTTCAAAAAAAAAGTTTTCTAAATCTTAATATTTCTCAAAAAAAAAAAAAGGAAACTTTAAAAAAAAGTGAGGGGGAGTGGTAGGGGAAAGATACATGCTCCCTAGCCCCTCGGCGTCGTCGGCCATGACCAATATTTCGCGAGATTATTTCATATATTACATGGGCAAGAACACACAAATCCAAATTGAGTACTATTTACATAAGTCAAAAACATGGATCAAGATTAGTTTATAATAAAGATAAACTGACCCATGCTGAACCCTTACTAAAAACCTTGAATGCACTAAATGTTTACCAAATCAACATCTACCAAAATGTTCTATTTATGCTTAAATACAAACTTGGACTAGTCCCATCGCATTTCTTAGATTTTTTCTTTTAAGTAAACTCTTTTAAGTAAACTTCTTTTAAGTAAACTCTAATAGGTATATGACAAGAGCAACAGGCAACTTCACACTGCCCAAAAGAACAACAAAGTTTTCAGGGTTTTCTATTTCCTACCGGGGTCCGTACCTATATAACAAAATCATATCCAAAAATATAGAACTTAAAGTATTAAATAATGCTGCCAACTTGAAAAATAAATTAAAACACCTCATACTTAATATCAAAAATTATATCGACATGTATTAAACTTAACATTAAAATTTATATTAAAATATTTATGTATATCACTGATTGTATATTGTTTAACCACTTTTGACTTTATATAAAAATAAAATAGACTTTATTTAACCTTTTAAAGAGGTACTCGATGATGAGTCTTTATAGACTTCTACGAGTTTTCCTTTACAACAACATGTATAGGTTAAAAATATTTTGTTTTATATTTTAGTGTTTTGAGATAAAAATGTTTTAAAAAATGAAAACTTCAGGAGACAGTAAATAAAAAGATTTTTTTCTATTCATATTTTCTCGGTAATATTTTAAATTATAACTTAGGTTTTAATATTGTGAAAACATTATTTTGAGGTACAGAGCACAATCAATAACTCGAATTTTTAGAAAAGAGGAGATAAAACAAAATAATTCTAACCTCGTGATTTACTAAATTATTGTAAGACGTGTTTAAGTTAGTTCCTAACAATTTTAAATTGATAAGAAAAAAAAAAATAGGCCCAGGATCAAGCTGTCTTATACAACCTCTTAATCCCGGGTTTAAGCACTTTATCTAGGGGTTTTACTTTTTTAGCCTCAATCAAAAATTTGCATAGAGCTCCTTTGACTTTTTTCAAAAAAGTCGTATTTCGTTAAGTCGTATTTTCGTTTTAAATTTAAATTTCTTCAGTTGAGATATGACCATTTTAATAATGTAAATTCTATTAATTTTTTTTTGCCGCAGTCAAATATAAATTTAAAGTTCATCTTTTGTTTTAAACATTCTTAACATTTTTTTATACTTAGTAACATTTGTTTTATTTTTTTACAAATTTTATCTTAAACGTTTTTCAGTTTGTGATAGTGTTAGTTTTAATTATTTAATTTAATTAACTAAATTTGCGGGTTTTTAAACTTTAACTTCTAAAATTAAATGGCTTTTTTTATAATGACTAAAATAAATTAGAACGATTTCTTAAAAAGATTTCTTATAGTTAATCAAAAGATAATAACGTTATCTTTTGATGAATAGACATCACTCCGTAACCGTTGTTTCATGAGTATTAACAAAAACTAGCTGTCCGGATCCGTAAAATATGCGTTTTGATAAGTCTATTCTACACTAACCGTTTCAATACTTAATCCTTCCATCAGTATTTTTTAGTAAACTGTAGAAAAACTATACATATTGTCTACCTTTTAAGGTTATGAATAAAAAAGTTATATATAACATAGTTAACTTTAAAAAAAATTAAACGCTTGGGTAGTCATTGCAGGAACTGCTAATTATCAGCGATTCGTATATTAGCACCTGCTCGAAATGTGTTGAATAATTACAATTGGCATAAAATGTTTAAAAACATTTAAAAACATTTTAAAAAAATGTTTAAAAACATTTAAAAATATGGAATAATGAACTTACCATGACCCGTATAATACAGGTCATTGCAAGTCTCTTCCAAACATAATCGATCATTTCTATACTTATTCTTTATATAATCGTTTTATTTCAATAATTTTTAGTAGGTGAGAGAAAATAAAAATTTATCAAACCTTTGTTTTGAGTTAACAATTTATGTTTAAACTTAATAACTTCTTATTGTAAAATTGTAAACTTCGATAAAAAAAAAACGGGTACAGGCTTACAATTTTTTTTTAATGAAGTTTTTATTAAGGTTTCATTAAATTTTTTTCCAGACCATCTGCAACTTATTTAGGCCCTTGCCCCAATAATTATTTTAATAACTGATTTTTAAAAAAATAAAAGTTTGAATGTAAAATCTTTTTTCCTATAATAAATTATCTTTATAGTGTGTTGAACGAGCAGACTTAAATAATTACCTAAGTACATTAATAACTTAAGTATCTCTATCGTGGCATATGTGCAAAAAATTTCTACCACTATTTTAATTTTTATTGAAATTTTAAGTTTTTTTTTAAAAAAAACTCTCCCCTTTGTTTGTTAAAGTATATAATATCTTTACATATGAATATATAACATCAAATGAACTTTAAAAATATTTTATTTTGTATTTTAGAAAATTGGAAACAATTTAAGAAAAAAATGTGCATGCGAC